CAGGAGGGAGAGGGAGAAGGGGAGCAGGAGGGAGAGGGAGGGAGAGGGAGAAGGGGAGCAGGATGGAGAGGGAGAAGGGGAGCAGGAGGGAGAGGGAGGGAGAGGGAGAAGGGGAGCAGGAGGGAGAGGAGAAGGGGAGCAGGAGGGAGAGGAAGGAGAGGGAGAAGGGGAGCAGGAGGGAGAGGGAGGGAGAGGGAGAAGGGGAGCAGGAGGGAGAGGGAGGGAGAGAGGGAGAAGGGGAGCAGGAGGGAGAGGGAGAAGGGGAGCAGGAGGGAGAAGGGGAGCAGTATGGAGAGGGAGGTAGAGGAAGAAGGGGAGCAGGAGGGAGAGGGAGAAGGGGCGCAGGAGGGAGAGGAGGGAGAGGGAGAAGGGGAGCGGGAGGGAGAGGGAGGGAGAGGGAGAAGGGGAGCGGGAGGGAGAGGGAGAAGGGGAGCAGGAGGGAGAAGGGGAGCAGGAGGGAGAGGGAGAAGGGGAGCAGGATGGAGAGGGAGGGAGAGGAAGAAGGGGAGCAGGAGGGAGAGGGAGAAGGGGAGCAGGAGGGAGAGGGAGGGAGAGGGAGAAGGGGAGCAGGAGGGAGAAGGGGAGCAAGAGGGAGAGGGAGAAGGGGAGCAGGAGGGAGAGGGAGGGAGACGAAGAAGGGGAGCAGGAGGGAGAGGGAGAAGGGGAGGAGGGAGAGGGAGAGGGGGGGGAGAGAGAGAAACATCAATCAGTTGTCTCCCACACACGCCCTGATTGAGGATCGAACTTGAAGCCTGGGCAGGTACCCTGACTGGGAAAGGAACCTGCTACTTTTTGGTGTATGGGACAACACTCCAACCTACTGAGCCACACCAATCAGGGACATTTATTTTTATTTTTAATTTGAAAAGAAGTTACTGTAATTGGTAAATGTCCACAAAGTAATTTACCCTTCTCTATAAATTATTCTGGTACAAATAATTTTGTCTGAAAGCAGAACATTGCATTTGTTTTCTCTACAGCATGTAAATTCAAAGACAAATAGTAATTAAAGTTTACCAATGAACATAAATTAGTAAACTTTAATACTGATTATGCAGAATGTCAGGTAAAAAAACATTCTTTTAAAAAATGTTTTTATTGCTTTCAGAGAGAGAAAGGGAGAGGGAGAGAAAGATAGAAACATCAATGATGAGAATCAGTGATTGGCTGCCTCCTGCATGCCCCCCTACTGGGGATAGAGCATGCAACCAGGGCACATGCCCTCACTGGGAATGGAACCGTGACCTCCTGGTTCATAGGTCAATACTCAACAATTGAGCCACACCAGCCCGATGAAATGTCTATTTTTTGTACCTTGTTTTGTTAAAAGCCAAGCACCAAGGAACCTGAAATAGGAGAATGGCAAAGGGAGATAGAAGGCTTAAAATTAAAACCCCAGCCCTAGCTGGTTTGGCTCAGTGGATAGAGCGTCGGCCTGTGGAGTGAAGGGTCCCAGGTTCGATTCCGGTCAAGGACATGTACCTTGGTTGCGGGCACATCAACAGTAGGAGGTGTGCAGGAGGCAGCTGATGGATATTTCTCTCTCATCGATGTTTCTAACTATCTCTCTCCCTTCCTCTCTGTAAAAAATCAATAAAAATATATATTAAAAAAAATTAAAACCTCAGGAGTCTGGAGTTAAAAACTAGGCAGCATTCTAATGGATAAAAATCCTCAAGGGTTTGATCCCTTTACTACTAAAAATGCTACTGTTTTGACTTTTTGAGGATTTTGATATTTCCCCCCTGAGTAAATGGCTTCCAAGTTTTAAAATGATGTGATTTCTTTCTGGGAAAGCACAAAGCACTAGTGGCAATCTTCTAACCTGGTCTTAAAACATTCCAACAGGATACTGAATGCTAGGGACTTTGGGAGGAGGTGGGGAGATTGGCTCATGTTTTTGTGTGGACATTTTTATCATGCAAAGGAGCTTGAAGTAGAGGAGAACCATTAAAGATGATCACAAGAGCAATGAGAAGGATCAGAAACCTGTTACAAGGTACAGAAATCTGGATGAATTATGCATTATTCCTAAAGCTAAAGATCAGTGTCCAATCTGGTCAGAAGTTATTATTGGAATGAGACACCTGTAAATTAAAATTTTTTTACTACGAAGATCTTTTTAATAAGCACACAAGTTAACAATACAGTCTAGCCATGGGTAGTGTGGATCAGTTGGTTGGGCATCTTCTCCTGTACCGAAAGCTTTGCCAGGACCAGTCAGGGCACATGCCTGGGTTGCATGCTAGATTTCTGGTAGGGGGCGTGCAGGAAGCAGCTGATCAATGTTTAGCTCTCACATCAATGCTTCTTTCTCTCTCCCCCTTCCTGTCTCTTTAAAAAAATGCAATCTAGCCCTAGCCGGTTTGGCCCACTGGATAGAGTGTCGGGCTGGGGACTGAAGGGTTCCAGGTTCGATTCCGGTCAAGGGCATGTACCTGGGTTGCAGGCACATCCCCAGTAGGTGGTGTGCAGGAGGCAGCTGATCGATGCTTCTCTCTCATCGATGTTTCTAACTCTCTATCCCTCTCCCTTCCTCTCTGTAAAAAATCAATACAATATATATTAAAAAAAATACAATCTACTGTTCATTACATAAAATTTAGGTGAGAAGTTTAGTTGCTTTTCACAGTAAACCTTTTAGAAAATGTGACCCACTATGTGTAAATACTGGCCACACAGTAACTCAAACAGAAAATCATGCACTTAACTTTTGTGAATGTTAAATATTTTTTATGTGAAATAGGCTTTAAGACCTATTTACACAGCAAATAAGAAACAAGATGCTTATTCTGAATACCTATAACATGAATATGCTGTGGTTATACACTTGAAAAAGGATTTACAGACATGCCTTTTCTTCATCCCAGAGAGTCTTGGTCCCCATTTATGAGGAAGTTAATTAACCTTGGGCTGGTTACTTAATCTTTTTTATGCCTCATTTTCTTATTCACTACGACGGGGATAGTAGTACCACCTCCTACAGTTGTGGAATAACTTAGTTGATGAAGATATTAAATGCAACACATAAAAAACCTCTGGAACAGTTTCTGGTATACAGTATACACTCAATAAACGTTAGCTGCTGGCATTATTGGGATCCATTTCTACCTTACCCATATTAAATTATTCCTGTTAAGGAAACACTTAATGCACAGCCTCTTGCGACAGCGAACCTAACAGTCAAAAACAGTCAGCAGCCTCCAGGAGGCAAAGGTACACAGCTCCAGTTTTTTCTGTCAGGACTGCATCTTCAGACGGGGAAACGGTAAGTCATGAAGATCCACCTGGCTTCCTCCAGGGGAAAATGGGAACCGACGGATGCTGCCATTGGAGAAATCAAAACCGAGCACCCAAATAGGGAACAAGGCAGCGAGGGTCAGTATATCACCTCGAGGGAGACTCAAGCTGCTCCGGAAGAAGGAAGGCCTTAAAAGACTTCATTTCTATCCCCCACCAATAAAATGCCCCCTCGCCAGAAACAGCATCCTCTCTAGACACAGTAACAGCAGCAACACGTTGCTTCCGTCTCCTCGTTCTCCAACTCCTCAAACAGAAACACAACAGTCATACACACTTGTGCTTCTTTTACTAGAAGGTATCTTGCAAAAATGTTGGCTTTGATTCAGAGGACTCACTCTAGGGCATTATGAAAAGCCTGCCGGTGAGGCTGAACGGCCGATGCGCGCACCGCACTTTAAATGCAAGTGCAGCATGATCTTCAACCTTCGCAACAAGCACCCCACCGGCCAGGGTGGGAAGAACAAACTTTCCCCCGACCAGAAAGTTTCTGTTGGCTGGTCTAACAATCAAATAGGACGCGGATTAGCAGGAGAAAATAACCAAATTTAATACATACATATGTATGGGAACCCCAGAGAGGGTCTGAGACACCCCTCTCCCCTCCCCATGCACAGGGGGTTCAGGGACAGAAAGAGGTATCGGGTAAATAAGTCCTTCTGAGCTAGGAATGCGGCAAGAAAACTCGGGGGCTTCAAAGGCTCATCGCAGGAGGGCAGAAAGAGCAGATGTTTGGTAAACAAAAGCCTGCTGTGCCACACGCGTGGGCCAGAAAGAGACTACCCACGGCCGATCACCGCCTAGGATGGGCAGCCCCCCCCCCCCCGCCCCCCTTCAAGCTCTTCTGGGCAGCGAGAGGGAGGAGTTGTTTCTCTTGGGCCTGACGCTACAACTGGCACGATCTCTAATCATCCCCATGCTGCTGAGAACATCCGGCTCTGAACCCCCAGAGGCGGGGAGCCTCGAGTGGGGAAAGTCAAGCCCCTGCCCACAGCCGAGGCACTACGGGAAGGGGGAGACTGGCATCACGGCTCAGGTCCCCGGAAACCCCCCGGTACTCCTGCCGCTGCACCGCCGTCTTGCCCAGCAAAGGAGCCTGGAGTTACAACAGGGAGAGTCCACGGTCCGCACACAGGCAGGCGGGTGTGCGGGGCGGCGCGGCCGCCGAGCGCGGAGGGGAGGCAGGTCCCGCGCGGCCGCCGCTCCTCCCATCAGTCCCACCGCGCGCGCTCGCCGTGCCGTCTACCGGGCGCTGCGGAAACCTCCGTCCTCGCTCGCAAACTGCGGGGACTCCCAAGTTGAAACTCGCGCGTACCCGCGACACAGCCGAGTTACGGAGGCACCGGGGAGACGCGACCCGGGGACCCGCCGGTCACTCCAGCCAGGGGCGCTCGGCGACCCCTGGATGGAGCCTCACTCCCGCCGCCAGGCCGGCGCGCGGCCCCCCGACCCGCTCCTCCGGGGGCCCGCGCTGGAAGGGGCCGCAGGGGGCGGAGATTCGGCGAGCTCGAGGCGCTCCGCAAGCCGGGTGGGTGCCGGGGGCCCGCAGAACGCAGGCGGGGCGGGGGCGGGGGCGGGGGCGGGAGTCCCGAGACCCGGAGGCCGGAAGGGATCGGCGGGAGGGGCGGGAGGGCTGGGGGCGGCGGTTACAAACCCCACGCACTGAAACGGCGCGCAGAGGTCCGGCCGCGCTCTCTTACCTCCGCCGTACACGCCGCCGCTCATGGCTGCTGTCGGTGCGATTCCCACGCGGAAGGCTACCGGGCGACGTGATTGCAGCGACGGCGATCGCGGGTCCTGAGCAGCGCTAGCCTCTGACCCCCTTAACTTCCACCGCCACCCGCCTCAGGCAACAAAGCGGCGTCCACACACCCGGTGCACAGTCACACTTGCTGTCTGTTCTTTCCAGCCAATCAGGAGAGGCCCGGCTATCCTTCAGCCAATCATAACTGGCCTCTGGGGCATCCTGTCGTGGCCCTGTCACTTTAGCCAATCGGAGGCAGCCTTCGGGGCGGGGAGAAGGAAAGCGACCAAAAGAGAGTAGACATTGGACCGCGGAGTTGAAGGGGGCGGAGCTACTCCAGTAGGCGGGAGACGGCGGCGGTGGGAGCCGGACGAGGAGGAGAAACGTGTAGGGGCGGGTCCGTGGGTGTTGCTGGGCGCGGAAGGGCCGTGGGAACTCGCTGCCGCCAGGTGAACTTCTGGAAAAAGACTGGAAATTGGGGAAAGTGTCTCCACTCGGTGATTTTCGGCTTGGGAGTGTGGCGATGCAGGTGTTTTCTGTTTTCAGAAAGAGTATTTTCAACTAACTTTTATGTTGAAATAATAAAGACGTATGCTCCACTTTGGGGTGGAGGAATCAGTCAATCAGAGGTAGGATTCTGTAATGTTTAAAATGGTTATGAATAACGAACTTAAGAAAGTGCTAAATTTAGGTAGCAGTTTTAAAATTATTTTTATTACTGATATATTTAATTGTTTATTTTAAAATCATTTTTGTAAAATTTTTTAATTACATGAAAGTTATACAAGTGTCATCAATCTCTTTTACCCTGTGAGACAGATAAAGGACAATGCAACCAGCCCTCACCCTAATGCGTACCTGATCCCAAACTCCTCTCCCGTCTGTGCCCGTCCCCTTCTGCCAGTCCGGGTGAGGTCGCCATTCACTGTCTCTTCCCCGGGTCGCTGCAGCAACCTGTCGCTCTGCCTCTGGGTCACACTGCAGGAAGCTTGAGCTATGCAGACACGACTCGGTGACAGCACTCCAGCTCAGAACCTCAAGATCAGTGGTATGCCCTTGTAGTTAATAGCAGTTCTTAAATGAGTTTGTCGGAGTCTATAGACATTTAGGGGCTGCTCTTACCCTGAATGAAGCCCTATTCGTCTCCTATTCCTCTCCGTGTAGCTGACACCGGTTCTCAACCTGTGGGTCGCGAACAATGAAAATACATCCTGCATATCAGATATTTATATTACGATTCATAACAGTAGCGAAATTACAGTTATGAGTAGCAACGAAAATAATTTTATGGTTGGGGGGTCACCACAACATGAGGAACTGTATTAAAGGGTCCCGGCATTAGGAAGGTTGAGAACCACTGGCTAGCAGAAAGTGAGGGATGGTAGGGTGGGGAACAAAGCTAGAGAAAACTTTCCCACTGGCTTGACAGTATAATTACCATATTATCTGTGCATTTAGGAACTCCACCCACCACCCCCCCTCCCCCTCAACCTGATGAGATAATGCAGAGTTCAGCAAAACTATAGGCCTGTGCCAAATTCAACTTGCTTCCTGTTTTTGTATGGCCTGTGAACTAAGAATTCCACTGCTCAGTGGTCTTTTAAAAATATTTCTAAGAATAATATATTGTGCCCTAGCCGGTTTCTTTCAGACCGAAGGGTCCCAGGTTCGATTCCGGTCAAGGGCATGCACCTCAGTTGCAGGCTCCTCCCCTGCCTGGGACCTGGTCAGGGCACATGCAGGAGGCAACCAATTGATGTATTTCTCTCACGTCCATATTTCTCTCTGTCTTTCCCTCTCTCTTCCACTCTAAAAATCAATGGAAAAATATCCTTGGGTGAGGATTAAAAAAAATAACAATAAAAAGTAAAATAATATTTTGTGACATGTGAAAATTGTATGAATTCACATTTCATTGACCATAAATTAAGAATCTTTGGAACACAGCCAAGTTTATTCACTTATGGCTTTTTTTTTTTAATGTAAAGGCAGAGTTGAGTAATTACAACAGAAACTGTGTGACCCACTCAGCTAGGTAACTCCTATTAAACCCCTATTATAGAAAGAGCTCGCTGACCCCCGTGATAATTTGTGCAACTCATCTAGCACAGTGCACCTAACTACTATATATTAACTGTTGTTGCCCCCATGATTAAAGTTCTCACTGTAGATATCAAATACCAAAAATATTTCTATTTGTACTGTGTATTTTTGTGACTAATAAAACTGATGAATTTTAAATGTGCTACTTTGGTAATAAATATTGAAGAGGTAATATTTTGTTTACAATACACAGTAATCCATTGAAATCAATTTGCCATTTTTTATGTTTTTCTGGGTTTTAGAGAGTGAAAGGGAGAGGGAGAGAGGGACAGAAACATCAATGGTGAGAATCATTGATCAGCTGCCGCCTGTGCACCCCCTACTGGGGCATGTTCCCTGACCGGGAATAGAACCCTCACTTCCTGATTCATGGGTCAAACCTCAACCAGTGATCCACACCAGTCAGGCTCAATTTACCATTTATAATATTCCTTGCCCAGTTGTCATGGCTCAGTGGTTGAGCATCGACCTATGAACTAGAAAGTCACGGTTTGCTTCCTGGTCAGGGCACATGCCGGGGTTGCAGGCTCGATCCTCAGTAGGGGGCATGCAGGAGGCGGCCAATCAATGATTCTCTTTCATTGATGTTTCTATGTGTCTCTCCCTCTCCCTTCCTCTCTGAAATCAATAAAACTATATCTAAAAAAATAAAGTATAGTCTTTCTTATACAAGTTAAATAGGATACTAGTAGATATATCTCAGTAATACTATCTCTAGCTGTCCAGTAGTTCAGAGTTCATCAGAAAATGAGACAGTTCAGCAGGGTTAATGAGGACTACACCCCTAGCCTTCAGGGAGGCTTAAGATGCTGTGATGATTGTCTTCTACAGAGAACACACTGGAGTAAAGGGGAATCTTTAATCTGATAGCACAAAGAAAACATCTTGAAGAAATACTGGAAAGTCATAATTAGGTGTTTTATGTAAAATAAGGGCTTTGGTTCACTTAGTAATTTGGAAAATTATTAGAAAACATTATACACTCATATAATTTCTCTTGATGTATCATTGGGCACATTGCTTTAACAAACCATTGAAATGACCTTCAAATGAAAAGAACCTCACAGTACCTCTGAACACATGTTAATGCAGCTAAAAGTCCCCTTTAAGCTCTTCATAAATTTTAATCAGCAAAAAATGTGACAGGGCATTAAGATCATTGGCTCTAAAGTATTGGATTGCTGGAGGAAAGAACTGGTGAGAAAGGAAACCTATTCAGGATCCTAAATAAACATGTCAGGGGACTAAGAAATTACAGTATCTTTGACATTGTTTCCTTAGGCGGGAGACATACTATGGATGTTCGTTTTCTTCCATTCTTTGTAATTAGGAACATTGGTAGAATGTACATTAAAAGAAAAATACTGACCCAGCAAAGTCTACAAAACATAAAATAACTGAGGGAGCTTTTGCTTTAATACTTCTCCTCGGTGGCCTAATGTTTTCTTTAGTTTTTGCTCTACCTACATTAATGTAACTGATAGCTAGTCAGATTAACAAACAATAGCCTCAGCCAGTTTGGCTTAATGGATACAGCGTTGGCCTGTGAACCAAAGGGTCCCGGGTTCGATTCAGATCAAGGGCATGTACCTTGGTTGCAGGCTCCTCCCCAGCCCAGGCCCTGGTCAGGGGCGTGCAGGAGGCAACCAGTCGATGTGTTTCTCTCACATCGATGTTTCTCTCTGTCTTTCCCTCTCTTTTCCACTCTCTCTAAAAAGATCAATGGAGCCCTAAGCGGTTTGGCTCAGTGGGTAGAGCGTCAGCCTGCGGACTGAAGGGTCCCAGGTTCAATTCCAGTCAATGGCATGTACCTTGGTTGCGGGCACATCCCCAGTAGGGGGTGTGCAGGAGGCAGTTTATCGATGTTTCTCTCTTATTGATGTTTCTAACTATCCCTCTCCCTTCCTCTCTGTAAAAAATCAATAAAATATATTTTTAAAAATCAATGGAAAAATATCCTCAGGTGAGGATTAACAACAACAACAAAACACAAACAAAGAAAAACAACAATAAAACCACAACTTAAAGTTATTGTCTATATGTCAATTCTCAAGAACATTATACATCAAAATAATGCTTGCAACTCTTGTGTACCCCCCCAACCAACCAGCATATTCTGTGTCAACCTAAAAGTAAAAAATATCAAAATAACGTGTATGTAAATTTGTGTAACCCACAGTAAATGCTCAGTGGTTGACTCTCCACCCAGATATATAAGAATAAATGTGCTTTTAGATATCCTTTGTAATCTGCAAACATCAAGAACATACAATAGTGCAGTGAAAGCCTGGAGAGGGGGAGGGAGGAGGAGTCAATGGGGAAATAAGGGAGACATCTGTAATACTTCCAACAACAAAGGTAATAATAATAATAAATAAAATTTTAAAAATTTCATGAAGTACCTGAGTGCAATACTTGGTTTTGCCTCACGAGGTCGCTGCTCTTCCATGCCTGTAATGCTGCAGCCTCATTCCTTTTTTCACCAACTCTATCATAATTCAGATTATGGAACTACACAGCAGTCATTACAAAACGTTATTGATCTTGTCCTCTGTCTCAGCCTTTAACAAGTTCAGAGTTGAAGAAAAATTGCGACTCTTATCGTGCAAGCTAGGAAACATTCAGATTGTCATCTGTTAAGAATGACACAAAAATGTATGTATTTAGAATTATTTTATTTCAAGCTGCAAAATATATGCAATTAACAATTATGAAAAGCGAATTTCAATATAAATTCTGTGTGTGTTATATGTGTATGTGTAAGGAGTCTTAAATACCATACTCTGTTTATCAAAGTTCCCAAAACTATAATACTAATGCAAGCACCACTGAGATAAACGATACATATCTGGAGTGTGGAGTTTTTCACCAATAGATACATAGTAAGGTTCACACATCTATTTGCCATTAGAATTGTAAGAGAACTGCTAGTCATTCCAAATAATATGGCCTAGATAAAGAAGCAAATGAAACTATATTTGATCACAGCTGGTAACTTATAACATACAAATAGATTTGTAATAGATTAGTATTAACAATGTTTAAAGATACAAAAGGAAA